CAATCTAAATACCTGCGTAAGTACATAAGCATTCACTGGGAGCTCCAAAATTACATAAAACATTAACACGTAATTTGCTGTGGGTGCATCACGGGCGTCTGATTTATTTTGTTTATGCTGATAAAAGAGCAACAGCTGTTCTTGAATAGCAGCAAACCAAACTTGGCTGTGCTCAGACACTTGGGGCCTTGAGCCGAGATGATTTTCCTGTCTGCTGCATTGTTTTATTTTTTTTTCTTCCCTCCCCAGTTTTCCACTCTTGGAGCACTGGAACCCGCAAGATCCCGATCTGGTAAACAATGAAGAGTCATCTGTCGCTTCTCTCTTCTCCCTCTTGCTGATTTACAGAAGCAGAAGCAGAAATTAAGCAAGGCGGAGGGCGTACGGTCGACACACACCCAGATCCTCTTGCATCTCGACACACACACTCCTCCCTCCCTCAAAGGGGACTCTAATAAACCATAAGTGCCTCTGAAATATTAACTAGATGCTGCGAGCAAAATCCCTGCAGATCTACAGAGGCTGCCATCTTCAATCTAGCCCAAAAACAAATTGCACTTCTCCTCCTCATCTCCTCATGCCTCGCTGCCCTCTCCTGCTGTCCATCACGGACTCATACTTACACATGACTGGGGCCAAACCGCCGACCACAGAGCGTCTCGGCATGGCCCCAGACTTTCTAGCGCGGCATCGATCTGAAACATCAGACTATAACTGCTGTCTGTGCCGAAGCTGCGACCCCGCTGCTGGATGCATATTAATCCACCTCCATCAACACTTATTTGTGATGGAGCTGTTCTCCAAACCGTGTTACCCAGACACCTCGTGTTCGTTCTGGCGGAAAATTTAGATCCACCAGTCAACTTTAATTACATTTTTGACTGATGAACTTCATGTAGAGACAACATTGCCGCACCAGGGTAGACTGCACCGAAACGGCAAATGATGGCAGAAATCCCCTCAAAGTGTAGCTAATGTTGGTTTTCTACCTATTATATGATCATGTAATGACTTCTGGGCGCTGATGACCGTGATCTTGGCCCAAACGCAGTCCAGATATTGACCGATCAGATCCTGAACAACTCCCTTTAGTCATGACCTCTGGAAACTCATCTGTCTCCTTTCACCCTCTTCATCCCTTCTTCACTCTCGTTCCCTCTGGCTATTGCTGATCATTTATAGATTTCCCATTACGGCCAGAATACAGACATTGATCCCACACCTCTCTGCTGCCCCCCATGAGTATTAGTAAGAGGGTGATATCATATGCACAGGAACACATGCGAACACTGAGCGGCTGCTATGTGCTGGTGGCATCTTTTCGCTGTGACCACACAGGCCGAGAGGATTTACGGCTCTGTGTGTCTGCATGGGCAAAGTTAGATCATAAAATCTGCACCTCGGGCTGCGTTCAATAAGAAATAACCAAATAAAAATGAGAAAATCAAACCCACAAAGGTGGAAGAAAATGGATCTTCTTGAATGACTATAGTTTTTGGCATGTGTGTGTGCGAGTGCCCGTTTTAATTCAAAAATAAAAACACTTCCTCCTCAGGCTAGAGAGAGGGGAGGGAGAATGAAATAACAAAAAGGGAGAGAAGAGAGAGATCAAGAAAAATAGAGGGAGAGAAACTGAAAAAAAGAGGGAAGGAGAATCGTCTCTGCCTCAATCTTCTCTCTCTCTCTCCCTTCCTCGGCTCCTGGTATATCACTAGGTAGCATCCTGGGGCTTGGTGATGGCAGATTGCATTAGAGATATGGGCCTGATATTTCATCTAGCCTTTATTACATTTAGTTCACATCAATCGGCTGGCAGCCTGGAGGTAAGAGCTATTTGGCACATGGCCGGACTCCCCCTGAAATGAAATCCTGAATTAAAGTGCCACCTCAGACATAGAACGCCTGCATAAGGCTGCCGATTTGATTGCTGCAGTAGAGCCGCGGTTTGGCTACGTTACACCGTCCAAAGCACTGACTGTTTGAACCCACCGAGGGAAAATCACCAGCTGGCCAGGGATATTAGCCAGAGTTCAGAACCCTTGCCTGGGCTGACCAAGCACTTTTCTCGGTTTTATAAAAGGCCTAAAGTGCCCAGGGAGGGGGAAGATGATGGCTGATGAGCACTTTTACACTGACAGGTTGCACGCCCGAGTGTGTGCGTGCATGTGTTTTTAAAGCGTATCCACCGAAAACATATGTTCATTTACAATCTTCATGACCATGTTATCTGCAATTTTTTTTCTCCTTCCCTTTCCCTCGACACGTTTCCGTGATCAGCAGTCTAGACCACACAGCTCTGCGTCTTTCAGGTAACACAGCTCCGGTTTTCTCTGCTGCCATCTCTGTAATCCCAGCTGTCATGCAGATTTGCAGCCCTGACCGAGATGCTGAGCCCTTCCACCTCTGCACCCCTCTGGCTCTCCTCGCCCTAACCTCGCCGAGGACCGTGAAAACATGCAAAAATCTACTCTCTAGTTCGCTCTCTCACACTGCCGTGCCTAATCATACAGGCAAAAAAAAAAAAGAAAAAGAAAAAAAAAAAGAAAAAAGGAAGCAACCCATAACAGCGCTATAGGGCTTGGATCAATCCGGGTAAAAAGCATAACACAGGACAGAGAGAGCAGGAATATCGAGCCGTACTTCGCCTTTTTCCACTTATTTTTGCTGCTATTTCTGTGCCCCAAAGGGGAGATGCTTCTTCCGTGAAAAACAGAAGGGCAAACACATTAGTGTTAGAGGTTATGCATAAATAAATGTTGCCGTGATCCCATGTTTTGCTAATGGGCTTTTTAAAATGGGGCTTATCAGAGCACAGGCTGGATGTATAGATGGATTAAGGGAAGAGGGAAGCACAGCGGCTAGTCTTACAAACTAACAGTTGCTTACATGCTTGCAGAGTTACTCACCCGTAGACGCCCACCCACACTCGCTGACTATTTCTCATAGACACACATGCTGATACATACAGGATGAAGGAGACTGAGTGGGAGTGTGTGTTGGAGGGCAGGCCAAGGCCTCAGTCCCTCCAGGCGAGTGTAAAAAAAAAAAAAAAGAGAAGAAAAAAAAGCCCCTTTCCCAATAAAACTGTCTGTGGAGAGAAGGAAAAACAGGGGGCATTTCAGTTTTTTCTTCCTCCTCCCTCAGCCTCCTCCTGCCCTTCATGCCTCTGGGCTGTGAGAAACTGCTTGACACAGTGCTTATCAACAGCTGAGCCGCTCCTCTCTCCCACTACAGCGGGAAGTCCGGCGAGCTGCGAGCGTTGACACTGTGACGCTGGTGCTAAAGCGCAGAAGCATATTGCGAAAAAGAGATAATTACGCAACATTTTCCCTTTTTTTTTGCCTTTGACAAAATAAAGAAAAACCAGGAGACACAAAAGCGGAGACATCAAAATAACATTTCCAGTTCAGCGCGAGCACGACACAACTGTGTGAATAGAAATCGACAATCATTACAAAAAAAGAAAGAAGAAAAAAAAAAAGCCCCTTTCACCAAAGCAGCCATTGATGTAGTCATGAAAGTAACATTTTTCCTCCTGGCTGGACAAAGTGCTTTGTCAGTGAACAATGCAGAAACACCCATCGAGGATTATTAATCCTTCAATTTACAGGGAGACGGGGGACTGGTGCAAGGAATGGAGGAATAAATGGCAGTGATTGCACAAAAAAACTGCACTGATCAATCTTGTCTGGTCGTTTTAAACAAACTAAACGGACTCAAGCTCGGCGAAACGGGCGACATTCTCAGTGACTCGGTTGTATAAAAGTGGATTAAACAATGGAGACCGACTTCTTTCTCCTTCCTCCTGAGGTTAAAGACAATAGAAGACCATATGATTTGGATTACTCATGTCTCTGAGAAAGGAAACTGACCAGCGTGCTCATATCCAGATAAACAGCTGGGTCTTATTCTCTGCTTCTTCAACCCTTCTGTTTATTCCCTCTCTCTGGCTCCACCTCCCCCGACTTTAAAATACACCAGGACTCTTTTTCTTTCATCCTATCTTGTCGTTACTTTCCTCACTGCCCTGCGTGCCCAAATTCAGACATGAGGAATTTCAAAAGTTGCTTGGCATTTGATTATCAGATGGAGGAGGATTACAGCTACAAAAGTACAGCCCTGATAATGTCATACAGGTTGTTCAACAGAGATACAGTCAAATATGAATCCTAAAATTTCCAACATCTGGTTCTAAGCAGAACAGGATGAAAATAAAGCATCTTCTGGCATCGAAAGTTTTTTTTTTATGTCCTTCATCATCAGTTTAGCCAGTGGAAAGAACACATGGACTAATTATTGAGCTATTTGAATCACTGTTTCCACTCAAGCTTTTATTGTGACCTGTTGTGCTTTGTGTTTCGCCAGCGTGCGAAAGAAACTGAAAACCTTGAGCTGCGGAAACTGAAACGAGCAACATTTCCTTCTCTCCGAGTAGTCTGAGGTTACAAGTTGCAGCTGATGTGCCCTTGAGCAAAGAATTTAACCTGGTAATGGCCCTGGAGAAGCCTTTTAAAAAGGCCAGCGCTAAAAGTCAGCGGTTAAAACCAGCAAGCAGGAGAAAATGAGCCTGGTGGTGTGAATGCAAAGAAGGATGAAGTCAGCTTACGTGCTCACCACATTCTCAAAAAAACAAACAAGAACCGCAGTCTAGTTAATAGTCTGCTTTTACAGAAAGCTTGTATCTACAATTAAAACTTACTTTGCAATTGACCTCTTGTGGTCAAAATGTGGAAAAGGTTTCAGCAACTTGGGAGCCAAACCGCCAGCAGTGAATTATAATCGTATGTAAAACTCTGTGTGCTTCAACAGGAAATTACTTATTTGAGATACAAATGCTTTTGCAGCATACTAATGAAAACGTCAACACAAATCATCATTCAGCCAGAATAATAGTACACCAACAAATCTTACTGGTGAAAGCAATTTTACTGCGATAAAAGAGCCGTTTATGGACTTCATTATTAGGACGTTCCCCTCCCCCTCCTCTCTCCCCGTCTTACTTGCAGTCGAGCCTCTCGATCTCGAAGTGAGGGTTGAAGTTGAGGACGATGCGCTGCGAGGGCTCCGGCGCCGTGATGATCCAGTGACAGTTCTGGTGAGGAGGGTACTCCAGAGGATAACCAGGGGAGGTGATGTAACCGGCCTCGCTGGCATCCAGGACGCCTCCGCACTCTGGCACTGTGATAGAGACAGAGAGAGGAGACAGAAGGATGGGACATGGACGGGGGAGGCAGTTATTGATTGTGAAACAAACAAGATAAGGCAACAACTTTTTTATTGTGAACATAATTTTGGTTTGTCGTTTGCAAGGCAGCCAGTCAAACCATGCAACTCCCCAGTAAACGGTACACTCCCTGGAGCGGTGACTCAGACGGCGCTCCTTCATTTACCTTGTTTCTCTATATGAAGATATGATGTGCAACAAATGAACAGTAAAACAAAGAAAGCAATTTAGGCTGTCAGTTAGGATGAAATTGGAAAAACTTCTCCATTGTGGATTCTCAATGCGACCGGGAGCACATGGGTAAGCTATTAAAACAATAAAAGATCATCGCTGCTGCATTTGGTGAACGCACACACACACAGAGTAACACACACAGCCTCTTTCACCCTCTTCCACACCCAGGCTCTTATCTCTCTACTCCCCCGTTGGGAGCGTTCTCCAAGTGTAATTGTTGCTCCGGCAAGCCAATCTGCAAACATTAGGACACATTCCCTGATCCTATCACGCTCTCCCAGGAACAATAGCCTGCCAATAGCATTGCTCTGCAGGCTTAGGCAGGAAGTGACACACAGACGGCTTGTCTAGCGGGGTTCTGGGGGGTCACCCCGACTCTGTAATGAGAAGCTAACGTGGCAACAAAAGGCCCTATTCTCCGTTTGCGCCCCGACAGCGACTGCGGCTCTCGCGCTTTGCGTTATCTCCCACAAACACGCTAAACACATAAACTCGCATGCACATACAAAAGGAACATGTATATGGGTATTCTGCACGCACACACAATGGGACAACACGGAGGGCATTGTGCGCCGTGGCTCCCTTTTTTTTTTATTACTTTTGCATTGGAATAGATTTGCAGCATTATTATTCTTTAGGCAAAACATGTTCTCCATGACAACAGCAGGGGGAGGTTTAGCTCTCTACCTAACGCTGTCTGTGTTTGCAGATGCTCCAGCGAGATCTCTAAATGTAATGAACTTTGTGATATTGAACTCAAAAGAGGGACGAACGCTTCCTCAATATTGTAGCTGCCGTCTGTTGGCTAAATAAGAACACCACGCAGAGGAGAGGGGGGGAGAAGGGCTTTATCAGGCAACCAGCTGAATCTTCTGGTATAAAAACTACCAAATGGTGCGCTTAACCACTCAGCCGCTGAACTGAATCTATTCTTGACATAAATGGGTTGATATTTTTGCCTGTTTCTTTCAAATTTCTGTGAAAGCATCAATAAAGGAAGCGGAAAGAGAGGAGAAAAAAAAAAAAGCAGCACCAAAGGCTTGAAGTGTAATAGACCCTTCAAGTGTTGACATTTCCACCGCCTATTGTGCTTAAAAGGCACACTTAAGATTCTCTGACATTTGATAGAGCTGCGATGGCTTCCTTACTTTGTTACTGGAGAGGAGCAACGCCCACGCTCGCACATCAGGCACACACAGCTGCCGGTGATTTCATGTGAGTGCGTGACTCCTGCCGCCCACATGCGTATCCACACAGATACAGGCGAATGTACAATGCGCATACAAGTTCGGTTACAAGTGCGCGCAATAAAGGGGCTCGTATGAACCAGGATGCATGCTTTAACGCACGCCCACGCGTTGATGTGTGCATGTCAACACAAACACGCAACCGCTGTGTTCAAAACGGCCACCCACGCACGCACACTTCCAAAAAAAAAAAAAACACATACAGAGGGCCTGTCAATCACAAGGGCCAACAAAAGTAGGGGAATAGCAAACTGAAAAATTTTTCAAAAAGATAGTAGGGATGGCAAAGAATGACACAGACGGAAAGCCACAAACACACACACAGACACACACAGACATCTCTTTATCTGCTGCGGGTGTGCAGACAGACAGTCATTGTTGGGAAGCCTATGGAGGGAACGGTGTGCAGGAGGCTATCAGCGCGCAGAGCCTTGGCAGATTAAGCCATTTGGGGAGAATCCTGCAGCCTCAACACTTTTTCCCTGAGCTGCCCATTCAATGGCCTCCGAGGAGGATGAAGAGGAGGGAGGAGGAGGAGGAGGAGGAGGGAAGGGAAAAAGAGAGAGAGAGAGAGGGAAAAGGATTACAGCGGGAAGAAAAATGGAAAAGGATGGGGAGCGAGAGGATGAAAGAACAGAACGGGGGAGAAGGAGATGAGGAAGGGAGGGTTTAGGAAAAAAAGAGGATGGATGAAAGATGGATTGAGGAGCAAAGAAGGGAGGAGGCGGAGGTGGTGGGGATTGATCGGAAGAGGGGGGGGTTGATGTATGACGGGCGAGCGTGAGCGCATAGGTGGGAAGAGTGAGGCAGGACGAGTGACAGGGAGAGGCAGGCGACGGAAAGGTGATGAGGAAGGAGAAATACAGCGGGTGAGGAAGAGGCGGAGAAGGGAGATGCAGCATGTGTGTGTGCAGAGAGCCTGACGAGCCTCATTAAGACATGCCTGCTATCCAGCGGCTCCCTGTAGACATTGACCCCACTGGGAAACCTCTGTCAGTCAGCTCTTACACACTGGCACTAGTGTGTGTGTTTGCTGCTGCCGAGAAACAACAAAGAGCGTCGGTGATGCAGCATCATGCACTAAATCAACTGCTCTGAGAGGATTTCTTTAATGACAGATGTGTATATTTTTCCTAATTGCTCGCATATCCAGAGAAAGTCTATATGAATGCGAGTGTGTGCGTGAGTGTGTGTTTCGCTGTCGAGCAGAATGTTTTGGTGAGAACAGAACTTGTGGTGTTGGATGAGTAACACAGGGGAAGCACTCAGGAGCTGCCAGCGAGCTTCATGAATTACACTGTCTCCTCTACTAGAGAAGCCCATCTGTCTACACACACACACACACAAGTGCTGCATATGTTCCTACCATGCAGGGACCGAAACCCTATTACATGAGAACAATGACACTACTGTGTGTGTGTGTGTGTGCTGCGTGTGCGAGTGTGTTTGCAGAAGCGTGTTTTTCATTATTCTGCACGTGAAAGTGAAAATTCAGCAAAACTACTATAAATATATATATGCCTCTATATCTCTTTTAGGTTGCATGAATGAAATGAGCAAAATCCATCCCCGTGCACATTTTCCAGTCACTCCCGATCTAGTCGAACCCACAGATGTCTTTGTACCCGCTGTGAGTGCCTTTATCTTCATTATCAGAGAAAATGTGCATATGTCTGCATGTCTTAGCTCACGTTCTGCAGTGTGTGTGTGTGTGTGTGTGTGTGTGTGTGTCGGTGCACGTTCATGCTCTCATTTCTATTAGCTGCCTTATCAGGGAAGCATGGCGTCACGCTCTGGGATAAGCTGCGAGTGCGAGGAGAGGCGCTGATAAATCCCTCCATCATTCCTAGTGTCTCGGGCCCATCCCTTTGCCCCCTCCCTCCCCACCTTAATTAAAAAGTGCTATCACCCAGAGTGAGGGAATAAGAGGGGAGAGTGGGCAGCACTCATCCATTCAGGGGTTGTCCCTCTGACTGCTTTTAATCTCACCCATTCCACACAAGACTGGACCCAAGGAGAAGGGGAAGAGGGTGACGAAAAAATAAAGATTCACTTTCACTGCTCCGTGCTTTAAGACCTTTAAACTGAGGTGTAATGAAAGAGCTTTGGGAGGGAAGTAGTGGAGTGTGTGCAATCTCTAACTGATATATGTGTAAATATCATTAATATGCTGATTTTAAAACTTTTGCATTTGCTTGTGGGCAAAGGTTTAGTTTCACAAGTGGGTGGACACAGAAAAAAAAAGCAAAACCTCGAAATATATACTGAACGAATAAACTGAATAAAAAGCAAAGTTTAAAAATAGAGTGTAAATAACATAAAGGCTGGTACTAGCGCACTAAAATCACATTTGTTTTTTGTTAATTCAACTTTTATAGGTACAAGTTCTAATAGAAATATTTTAATCTAACACACAAATAACAATTTAAGGCTATTTATCACTTTAAATGTTCCTAAAACGTTTCAACTGCAACATTCGGAGACTATTTTGAGGATCTTGTCTGGGTCACATATTATGTTACATGACAACAAAGACAGAACGTTCTCAACATTCAAAAAACGCTTCTGTAATGTGATACAAGGCCAACTTTGCCTGCAATATTCAGGGGCTGTTTCACGGATGTTGTTGAGGCAACACGCAGAATATCGTTCCATCAAACTGGAAACTTAGACGACATCCAAAGAAATACATCCTCGATGCAACATTTGGAGAACATTTTACACAATGCCATTTATTCTGCCTTTAAAAATGACATTCTGGGAAGTAAAAAAAAGAAAAGAAAAAGAATTTCCCACTAAAAACATTACTAAGGATGCTTAAGAACTAAAGAAAGTAGCTGGGCACTGAAATGCACCACGTTCCCGGTGAATTCTGTTTAATTTTTGTGTTTAGAATATCAGTTACATGTTTCTTTTACTCCAAACCGACAAAGAGAATGGCACCGAGGCCTCTGTAGGTGAAGGATTTTGCATTTTCTATCATGAATTTCCCGATAAAACAGTACATTTAGTGGTCAATGACATGCAGTGATGTTCAGGATAGATTAAACATATTCTGCAGCCAGTTATCCAGCAGAATAAATGAAACCCGACCAAAAGATACACCAGCAAAACCAATCAGCTCAGGAATGCAACATACACACACAATAGCTTTTTGTTAAACACTGTTTAATGTGTTTACAGGAGGAATTTTCTTTTAAGACCCAACAAAAGCCACATCAAAAGCAGATAATATCCCCAAATCCTCTTTTCCTCTCTCCTTTTTCTTCTTGCTCCCTCTCTACTCCTCCCTCCCTAACAGGATAAGTGCCCCATGCTAATCAGCTAAATGCACAGTGCTGGCCATCGTGATCAATGGTTCAATGGATCAATCGAGTAAACAGATGGCTGCTGGTGCCTGCAGGGGGGTAATGGTGTGGGCCTAATCCTAAACACTACCTGACTACAGTATCATGTCTCCTTCTCCCCCGGTGCACTTCTCTGCTGTGCGGCAGCATCAAACCTGCACCGCCAAAGCACTTTTCACAAAAGATTTCCCTGTCTGGAGTGGAAATAGCAGAGCCTACATCAGCAAGGGAAAGCTGTGAAGAATTGAGCTTTGCTGCAGGAGTCTTGGTGATTTGTAGCCACCCTCTACCCCCCACCTCACTGAATGTTACCTTTCAGTGGAACTGACTGCTTTAAAAAAAAAAAAAAAGAAAAAAAAATCCCCTTTTGCGTGAATTGCAGTTCTTACAAAAAGCTGTTTTTTTCCCCTTTAAATTCACACCCTGAACTGCTTCCTCTTGCAGCCCTCTTCTCTTTAGCCCTCCTTTTGAATTACAGTAAATTTAAAATGCTTTGCCTCTTGACAATGCTAACCCCCTCCAGCTTCCATCTAAACCCGTCCCTGAGCACCCGTTAAGACCCCCTATGCGGCTAATGCGACAGACTGAAAGACCGAGCTCTGTTTTATTTATGGGGGTCTTGTTTTTAATTTCACCCCGAGTGTGGTGGGCTGTTCCAGGGCTTTGTGCGAGCCTGTGACTCCCATACCTGACTGGTATTGAACGGGTTGCTCAGTTTGTCTTTGGCTATGAATGCTAATAGGTGACCTTGTTTTCGCAGCTGATACCTCGGAGGCCGGGCAGATTAAAATACAGAGAAATGCAAAGAATTGAAGGGTGGGATGTGGAGGAGAGGAGAAGGGAAAAAGGCAAAAGGAAAAGAGAAGAGGCAAAACCTCAAAGGTGACAGAAAGGAGAACAATTATTCACCCAGGAGCCAACATTTGAAGAAGAAATTATTAAATGAATAAAAATCCAACTCTGGGAGAAGTTGATACCATAGGTGGAGAGGATGCACAGCCACCCACTCAATAAACATGCAAATGAGCAGCTTAATGGCTTGAATATTAATGCATGAGGTAAGGAGTAATTAATGTACATGTCACTGAGTCAAACTACTGAGATTACAGCAGGAGTGGAGCGAAGGTGTCTCTGCTTTGGATAGAAATATTACAAATAAAGGTCTTGACACATGAAAATGAGCCTTTTCTATTCTGTGTGAACCGGGAGACAACCGCAGGCCACAACTTAGATTTTCCAAACATCTTCAGCCGACCGTCTACCTCGAGACCGTGTACGATTTTCACACTTCTGGCTGAGCTGCCTCGGGCGAGCATCGGTTTGTTCCAAAACATTCCACTTTGAGAGAAAGCTTTCGCTACTGTACACGTATCAAGTTGCCAAAACCCAGATGGAATCGATCGTGGAAAAGCAGGAACCCTTTGCAAAGTAAAAACCTTTAATGTGACTCCCAGTGTGCTTAACTTTCACGAGATCATCGTTTTGTAACAGAGTTGGGGGTTTTTTTCCTCCCCCAAATTCTAGATCGTATTCTTCTCTTTTCTCCACAACTTCTCTGGCCGTGATTTTTACCCGACTTTGTCACCCCAGATGACAGTGTCACTTCATAAGCCCTTAACGCGATCTGCTCCCTCTCCGTCCAGTGCCATTTTAACTCCGTGACCCCTGCACGCTTTGATGTTGCCCTTTTCTCTCACACTCTGCCTGATGCACAATCCACTACCCCCGTCTCTTCCCTAAGTCGTCCCTTTGTCTTATATGGCCTGCTCACTTTTTCGGTGCTTTGTGCAACTTTGCATCTGCTTCTTCTCCTCCTGCTCTGCAGCCACTGTCCCCTCACATCTCCCTCTGTGAGCCTCCCTGTTCTGTCTCCGCTCTGTTCTCTGTCAAGTCTCTCTTTCCTCTGGCATCTGTGTGTAATGTGGCTCTTGAGGGGAGCATGGAGGCAGGGACATGTGGTGCAGTGTCTTGGCAGGGGAGAGAGAGAGAGAAAGAAGGGGGGGGATCGAGCTTCTTGCTTGCCTGATGACTGCCAAGAGGCTCACATCTGTCTCTGATCAATGGGTATAAGGGCAGCCAGTAAAACACACACACACACACACAAGCACACATATGCAGAGGAATTGTTGGGATGACTGTCCTATTTAAAACAAGTAGCAGACAACAAAAAAGAGGGTGAGTCCATATGAAGTGAAGAGAGCGACGTTTTGTTTTAAAGGAACGCCAGCGGGTGGTGTTGTAAAAGCCCCACCAGTCATCATGGGATCATGAACAAGCTCTGCACCCCGCCTACTCCCGGTGGAGAGCACGAAAATACACCTCTCGTTAGGAATACTCAATGTATCGGAAGAGTAAATGGCATATACTGAGGGGGAAATGTGGGGATAAGCAGCGCAGATGTGCAAAAAAAAGAAAACTGTTCCATTTTGCGCAAAAAATCCCACCTAACCACAGGCGGCCAAAAGCGCCAAACCAGGCAACACTATAAAACCTGTGCCACCCAGAGTCAACTGTAAATGCAACAGAATGTTAGAGGAGGACCGAGTGAGCGAGAGGCCATGTGTCATCCGACCAGTGGCGTCACTTCTCTGCATGGTAAACCCCCGAATGCAACCCTCCAACTGCTCCAAAGCTGAGGTAATTTCTGGTGACATAATAAAGCAACACTAATGAATTATTATTTAATCACTTCCATGCACGGCAGAACGCGGTGCCACCTCTGGATTAAGTCACATTTAATTAGGTTTCTAGATAAATTCAGCCGCTGTTTCATGTTTGGGATTTGCTCCCTCAGGAGTCAACGGCTAAGGTGCTTCACAGTGTCGTTTCTGTGCTTTACAGCAGGACAGAGCCCCGGTTAAGTGCCTTAAGGCTAGGTTTCCAATCCAAACCAGCTGTATGACTCCTATTCTGCGGCTCATCCTGATCTCTAATCTTCCTGCTTATTGTTTTTTGATTGCTGAGAGCGCACGGAGGTGGCGGTGTGCCGCCGCCTGGAGCAGCCGGCAGATTTGCCCTCACCGCGCACAGACAGACGCGAAAGAGCACGATGAGAAGCGCAGAGAGACTCGTGGTGGTTAATAGAGACAGCGACTACAACAGGGATCGGATTAGTCAAAGCCTAAAATGACAGTGTAGCTTTTACGCACGGGTTTGCGGACGCGAGCAAAACTGTAAATTAGCAGGTTGGAACGCAGCCTGCGTCTAAAAGCTGCTTTCATCGTGATGTGAAAGTAATTTTAATCAGGAACCGGTTTGTTTATGTCCAGTGATGAATAATTACATCAGGGGAAAACACGGGATAAAGAGCGAGTTTGGAATTTCGGATGCCTCGTGTAGCCTGTATCACCATGAATATCAGCAGCTTATTCACAGCTCAGTGAGCTGATGGTCTCAGTAGAGCTGGGGCAGATACTTGTCTGCGATTTTCCTAAATATAAGTCAAAGTGGCTTTAATTCGTCACTATGATTTCGATTTTTTTAATGAAATGAACACATTAGGCCTTTAAATACATTTTAGTAAAGCCTTCATCTGCAAATCCTTTTCTACTGTTTCCCACATTCACCATATTCAATGGAAATAAAATATCCAAGAGAGCAAGAAGATCCCACAATAGCCTCATCATGCCAGGCGTTTGCGTATTATTACAATGTGAAACACATGACACCGGATCCTAGATTATTCTTCAAAAATGGTTTAAAAAAAAAAGAAAAGTACTGTAATTAGAGGCCAAGAACACGAACTGAAATGTGATATTAGACTAAATATTTGCATATCTGATTTCTAATCTAGTTTCAGTTCCTCTCGGTGTTTTGGTTCAAACAGACCATCTGTGCGTCAAAAACCAAGAAGTAGAACTAAAACTCACCGTCTTCTCCTTTGACTCTCAACGCCAGATGACACATTGCCATTAAAAATCCAAACACCGACGACACAAAATCCATCTTGGAGGATGCGAAAAAAAAAAAAAAAACTTGTTCGGTGCGTTAAGTATCTAATGTTCCCACCTCGTAGGATAGAAACGCTGCCGTTCCAACAAAAAATCCACACCCGATCGGAACCAAAAACCTCTGGCAGCAGTCAGAACTGAACCACTTTAGTAAGAATCCCACGATGTTTATTAAACCATTGGTGGAGAAAACTGTGTGCCAACTACATGTCATTGAGGAAATTGGGAAAATGTGATCAGCGAAGCCCTTCTACGTCTGTCCATTTAGCGGAGCGATGCCACTGACACTCATCCAAAAAAAACAGTGAACAAACAAACTCCGTGATCAATACTGCGTGCGCTCCGCACCTGGGAGGCTTCGGGCGAGATCTGCGCTTCAGAGAGTCTGGACAGCGGCTCCAGGGTGCGTCAAGTTCCGACTGAGAGGCTTCCCTGTCCGCGTATCTCCTTCTATGCGTCCCCGCGTATTTTGCGCACACGAGGTTCCTGCAGGGGCTTCGTAGTGGGCAGCTAAAGTCCACAGAAAACAGCTTTTCCAAAGCCCTGGAAACCTCAGTCCGAGTGTCAGCAGCTGCTTCTGAACGAGGCACAAAAGTAACAGAAGAATAAAGAAAAAGTGGTGCGCTGTGGATTCTTAAAAAGAGCGTTCATGTCATGCCACCTCCTGCAGCGCCGCTCCTCTCTGCTATGTCTCTCTGGTAGCGGCTCCGTGCAGCCTGCGCTCCGCTCCGACACCAGCGTGTGTCCTGTGTGCGCGTCTGCGAGGTGTGTGTGGAGTGTGTGTGTGAGTGATCGCGCTTTTGAGCCGAGCAGCTATCGCGTTACAGTCACGGCGCCTCGGCTCCGCCCCCTCCCGTCAGTCGCCGATTATAGGGAGGGAGAGAGCGCACAGACACTCTCTCTCTCTCTCTTTCTCTCCTCCCCTCCCTGTAGCTTTTCCCCCCTTTTTCTCTCACACAAACAGACGCATCCCCCCTTCACAAGATACCACAGATATAAACTCTCCCATAGATAAGGCCCAGATAAAACATATTGTAATGGTAAACCAGGGCTTCTCCTGGGGCTGTTTTTTTCTTTTAAAGGAGCAGATGAGGAATTTTTAAAAAATATATCACAGAAAGAGTGAGAAAGGGGGGCTGCCTGGGGAGGGTAGGGGGGTGGCTGAACGGCAAACAGGCACATGGTCCCCTTTCGCCACAAACACACATCAAAACGTCCAAGCCAATGTCAAAGCCCTCAGCTGAGTGGAGGGAGAGCCCACCTCAGCCCTGCCCAATCTCAGCCCTGCAATCAACAAGCCTAAATACAGAGCGGGGAGGCTGTGTAATGACACAGTAGTGAGCCCAAAATAATCTGCTGAGAAAGGCCTCTCCAGCGTCCAGCCCATGTGCCCTGCCTATGGCTTGTATTACCGTGTAATGTAATGGACTGGCTGAGGCCTGGCTGTATAATGAGGTACAGTATGTAGCCTGGCTGGCATCTTTATTTGGAAGGTGCATTCCTAAAGGTCAGGACACATGGGAAACTTTTTTTTGAGGCACTGTGCACCTACCGGTTGGAACTTTCGCCTACTAAAGCTACAGGTGCATGCACTTTTGAGGGGAATTTAAACACCAAAAGCCTCCACAAACATCTTTCCTTCAGTCAAGACTGCTGTGCCATGCAAACAATGCCAACAAAACACCCCGGTGCCCTTGACACAAGGTTGTGTGACAGGTCTGTGTGTCACCGCCTCACTTTCTGTCTGTCTGTCACCTCACTCGACTGTCATCCCCCGCTGCTCCACGCCCCCCAGGTTGACTAGATGCCATCAACTTGCAGCTTTCTTACTGCCTGTCAGTCATTTCTAAGCCCACCTCTAGCCGGAGGGCGCGGCGGCTGTCAGACGTCACTCCGATTGGCTAATCTGAGCCTCTGGGCGGTGCGTCCACGCTGGCATAAACCAGTTGATTATGGTGGAGGGATTCTTCCCCTGTGCCACTTGTGTTTGAGGAGAAGGCACTGATTAAACTCTTTATTTATTTGATGAGCACAAGTGATCTTTGCTTAACCCCCGATCTGACCCTTTCAGTGAGATAAAAAGAGAGAAAACACAGCCAGTAGAAAACCTTGAAGCAGCACCAGGTCACTTTCTGTTCTGTTCCCCCTCCCAGTCCCCAGGGGTCATTTGATACTCCTCTCTCCCATTTGTCAACATCTCTCCCCCCACCATCAGCTCGTAACCCCCCAAATATTGGGTCAATGCATGGCTAATGGAGGCCGACCTGCGAGGGAAAAACAGGGGGAATGTTGTGGGTGGAATGTGTTTGTATTTATCCCACCAGGGATTACATTCACTGCCGTCTGCTGCTTGGGTGTATATGTGGCGGCATTCTGGGTAAACTACAGCTTTTGGCAACATGTTGGTGGCAGCTCTGCACTTACAAGACACCAAACTGTGGATTTGATGACACGAGTTTTGATAGATGATATACATTAAAACCGTTTTTGCCCTCCCCGTCACATTTTTACTCGCTGTGGGCTCATTTTTCATTGCAGTATCAACGTCTGCACCTCTATGGAAACAGCACAACCACGACTAGAAGCAGATAGAACCCAAAATGTCTCGTCTACAGCATGACACAATCATTAAAAAATAAAAAACACTAAAGTTTAATTTCTTTGATTATTTGTTTTGCAGAAATAGGAAAACTTGGAGTCAGTACGTCAAACATTTTCCAAGTGTTGCCAACATGGGGAAAGAAAACTCCCCATACTATAGATGCTGAACTAATTACATTTTTCACACCTCTCTGTACATCGAGTCTAAATAATATTTCACCATGCTCAACATATCGTCCAACAACATAAACCATTTTCTGATCTATTATCTCTTATTTTCTTCTCAATTTCGTGAGTAGCAGACATTCTACTCAAGAACACTCTGGCTCGTTTGCATTTCTACCAGCCAATCACAGTCTTTTAGATTGTGCTAAGCCCAGGATGCAGTGATGGCGAGTTGCAAAATAGTGACGGAGGAATTGTTTTGATGGAATATTTGCATGCAGGGAGGTGAGCAGCGTCATGAAAACGGCTAACTCACCAAAAAAAGAACCGAGCCTCCCTTACTGCATGATCCAAATCTTCAAAACTTGACATTTCCGCATGCAGGTAGCTACGCCGAGGCTGTTTCTTGTAGCTTAGAGGATTTTAAAAACATGCAGATGCAGAGTAGGAGGAGAAAGCTGTGAAATGTGTGGCGGAAATGACCAGCAAAGTCTGCATCGGATGAGTCAAACCAGAGCAAGATAGAAATTTACAAGCAAACACTGAGTGAAATATGCTGCCAGTTACTAAAAATGAGACTCGTATCCTTGCAAGCATGTGTCATGCTATGAGGCTCTGCTTTAAAAAAAAGCCACAGGACGGTGCGTATCTCAGTGTCAGACTGTTTAAGTATCCCAGCAGACAAATCAAACACTTAACCTGCAGCTGCACCCTTTTTCTAGAGCATTTTCCCCCCAAGTCTTACCATCTGTATTCCCTCTGTCATCTCTCTGCCCCAAAATACAGTCGACAAATGGCTGCCATACAGTCCAACTCCTCACCTCAGCACACCTGCGCTGTGTTCATTCATGGGTGGCAGAGGGGAACACAACAGGGTCTTTCTCCCCCGTTATATGTATGTGTGTGTGTGGGAGAGAAAGGGAGACAGAGAGGGGGGGAGATAGATACCAACCGCTGCCATACTGCCTCTCTTATCACAACCTGCCCCGGAGACTGACAGCATGACTGATAACTCTCCCTCTCTTTCTTTTTCTCCCCCGTCCTCCGTCACACACACAAACACATCTCTCTGCTCTCTCTCTCAACACCTCACCCTCACCTCACCTATTAATGTGCTTCTCCAGTCAGCTGGCTGTAGGTTCAAGGAGGAAACTGTGCGAAAGTCTGCTAGTCTTTTGGAGAGGCTGAGTGATCCCGGTTGAGGCCTTTAGCTTTCTTCTCTTCATCACAGACAGACAGCTTTAGATCTAACGCTGGGAGATAAGCTGGAGATAGCCTGGACTTGACCCTATCAGCATCTTTAGATTGTGTGTGTGTGTTAGTGTGCATGTGTGGGTGTGTGGGTAGGTGGGTAGGTGGGTGGAGCAACGGTCATTGTAAGCACATCAAGAGTGGACAGTCAAGAAGGGAATTGTGAGATCCTGTTTGGTATTCATTCAAACGCCTCAGCCAGCAATACCAGAGCGTCCCAGCAATTTTTTTGGTTGACAAAAACCCCCCACAGTGAAATGATGAGAACAGTATAGCAAAACCACCCAACACACAGGTTAGAGATAGACTAGAATAGAGGGTCTCTGCATTAAAATGGTGCATGCTGCATCTTTAATCGCGGGAATGTTCTGTTTGTTGTATTTTTATCGTCACACTGTTCTCTGCTGCAGCAGTGACCCAATTTCCCCTTGGGATCATTAAAAATGCAACTGATCTTTATCTCATGAGTCTATCTGCACACACACACACACACAGATCCTAAACTAACCTGCGATACTTCCAAATATACCCACACTAATCCCTGCAGTAAAAGGAGGATCTCCCCCCTTTTCACCAGGAGGCACCGATCACAAATCTCTCCCATCTTCTGCTATTTCTAGACTCGCTGTCGGATTCCTGATGGGCCACCCAAGCTATGGGCATGCCCTCGCCAGGTTAATAATTACACACACACACGCGCATAAACACACTGCTGCACTGCACATCTTGCCTCTGCTGTGCTGGCTTACTGCTTTGGATTGTATGGAAACATCTGGTGTCTGTCTGCTCTCTTACCGCTCCTCCTCCTCCTCCTCCTGTATATATGTGTGTGTGTGCAGCTCTGTGCTACCTTCAATCGCAGAAACAGCTCAATCATCAAAACACTTTCAGCTGCAGTTAGAAACAGCATTCACACCAGACAGAGAGGAAAACCTCAAAGTGCAGAAAGGCAGTGTTTCTCGTTTAAGGAAACGTAGGATTTCATGATTCTGCTCTTCAGGGTTTTTTTTTTCGCCCAGTGTTGTTTTTTAAAACTCTAATCTGACGTTTTGTGGTTGCTCAGATCAGTTTGTGTCTTGTTCAGGCAATAGAAATAGCAAAACAGTGACTGTAGTCTGGAGTCATATCCGATGACTAGTCATTAGTCATTCATTTGCAGTACACAGCTGAGCCTAATGGGGGCAGGCTACTGCATCCAGCCAAAAAGGGGGGAGAAGAGATCCAGGCTGCAGGCAATCTTTAGGAAACACGTTGTAAATATAAATAAATGTGATGTTAGATTATGCATACATTAAAATGATAATGACATTAAGATCAACATGCAGAAAAAACTGAACGTATGACAGCTATCCAGACAGATCTCATTTGCTTAATCACTGCACATCCAAAGCACAGTGTTGAAATAAAGCAGAATTTATTAATCATTCAGTAAATAAGTCACAGTGGTTGATCAGCACTTGCCAAATGCCCTATTTTGATGAAGGCTAATTTATTAACTTGCTTAATAAGTTGCCGGTTTTTGAATTAGACGCGAGCGTTGCAGTGATGGCTGCACTGCTGTGGATCTGGCTGTTGTCAGCTCGCTTCAGAAAATGTTGTTTGCTCACTTTAATTGCAAGATGCCTGCTCTATTCCCCAGTCACCTCTTGTTTATGATACAGCATCATTATCCTCTGGATGTTGCAGAGGAAAAGAGGGAGAATGCATCTCCTCTTCCTTTGCTTCTCCGCGAGGATCTATTTTACTTCTGCTC